ACACTGAGGAAAGTAAATACTATGGAGACCTTGCAAATATTTGCAAGGGGGGCTGTTTGTCAAGTTTGTCTCATAGAAATTCCGTGAAAGATTCATTATGAGAACAAGTTTTGGGATTTTGTTGGTGGCCAGTTGAAGATGCATTTGGCACTATTTTGGTTTTCTTACCTTTTGACACCCTTGAAATTATATTCAGACCTGTCTGAGTCTTTTCAGTCCTAAAGAAGAGATAAATAATTATTATGAGAAGTAATGCATTGAAAAAAGAGTGTTGAAAAGCTACAAGCATCCAGCAGAGTATAAAAATGAAGGAAATATGTCACCTACTTGCAAGATTTGATCTCACCACCAATTTACCAGAGCCAAAAGGAGGAGATAGGCTCCTGGATGGGTCATTAACCTCAGCAGTTTGTATCAGTGTCTCTTCAGCTAGATAGTAGCACAAGACTGTTAATCTAAGATAGGAAGACATTTTTTTGTAGATACTTTCCAAAAGCTATCACTGTATTACATAGGATCAAGAGAGGTAGTTAACTATGTTATCTGAAGTTAGGCAGGAGGCAGGGCAGGCTGGTGCCTTATAAACTACCTTGTTCAGAAAGGCATGAGCTTTCATAGCATTTGAAGAAGCAGGCTGTAGCTTATGAGCTTTCATAAGGTACAGCCTAGTTCTTCAGATGCTATGAGTGGCCTTGTGGAAAAGGGAGGTACTAAATAGGAAGGAATGAATTCATTTAAATGAAGGTAGAGGAAGAGGAGGAAAGGATGGGGGAAAGTGACTGCTGAGAGGGGTGAAAGTGGGTTGAAGATATCAAAAGGGATAAACAAAGCAGTTAACCCACTGAGAAATAGAGGGGTTATGAAAGCTAGTCCAGGTAATGGGATAAGATCCCAGAGTCTCTGGTGAGAACATACTTAACAAAATCCTGTCTATGGATGATTTCTTTCTGAAATACTGTGTTTAGGTTAAGAAGAGCCAGTTAGCTGTGGTTCCTACCTGTAGTCTGGATCTCTCGTGATTGTAGGTGGTCCCTGTGCTGGGAGAGTCTCTTTATCATAAGATATTTCATTTTCATAAATGATGCGATTACCTTCAAACTGTGCAAACAAAAAGTTGATTAAAATGGAAGTTTACTCAGTAAAAAGAGAGAGAGAAAGCTAGCGTGTGCACGCCCTTGCCGGTAGCCTACCCTCTGCGATGTGCCACAAGTGGTGACGTGGAATTTGAAGAAGGCACGTCCATTGTTAGATTCTTCAGGCTTGCAGGTGCTGTCCTTCAGTTTTGTTTTTCTCATGTCAATGGAAGGAACAGTCCTCATTTTGGCAGAAATGATTATTGTTCCATTGGGATAGCATACTAAGAAAATTAGGGAAGCTCTTTAATTCAGGAAAGGCAGCATGTTCTATGTTATGATCCAAGTACACAGCTTACCTATAAATTCTGAAGAGTTAAAATTGCAGCCAACGGAGAATATTTGCAAGGTCTCCATAGTATTTACTTTCCTCAGTGTAATATCAAATCTCGTTTTGATTCTCTGGAAGGACACTTCCTGTGGGGTGGGAAATAATCCAATATTTCTCCAGTCAAAATATATCATTGATCAGCATAACTAAGACGCTGCTCTTTAGTAGGCTGCTTTGAACACTAGCAAAAGATTAAGGTTTGAGGTTATCATAGTATAGTAGCTAGGGTTGGAAGGGACCTAAACATATCATCAAGTCTGACCCCCTGCCTTGGGCAAGAATGGATGCTGGGGTCATATGACAGCAGTCAGGTGGGTATCCAGCCTCCTCTTTAAGACCCC